TCCATCCATCCATCCATCCATCCATCCATCCATCCATCCATCCATTTTCTTCCGCTTATCCGGGGTCGGGTCACGGGAGTAGCAGCCTAAGTAAGGAGGCCCAGACTTCCCTCTCCCCAGCCAATTGGGCCAGCTGCTGTGGGGGAATCCCAAGGCGTTCCCAGGCCAGCCGAGAAACATAGTCCCTCCAGCATGTCCTGGGTCTTCCTCTGGGTCTTCTCCCGATGGGACGTGTCCAAAACACCTCACCAGGGAGGCATCCTAACCAGATGCCCTAGCCACCCCAACTGGCTCCTCTTGATGTGGAGAAGCAGCGGCTCTATTCTGAGTTCCTTCTGGATGACAGAGCTTCACACCCTGTCTCTAAGGGAGCGCCCAGACACCCTGCAGAGAAAACTCATTTTGGCTGCTTGTATCTGTGATCTTGTTCTTTCGGTTACAACCCAAAGCTCATGACCATAGATGAGAGTAAGAACGTAGATCGACTGGTAAATTGAGAGCTTCGCCTTTTGACTCAGCTCTCTCTTCACCACGACAGACCGGTACAGCGCTCGCTTCACTGCTGACGATGCACCGACTTGCCTATCCATCTCACGCTCCATTGTTCCCTCATTCGTGAACAAGACCCCAAGATACTTGAACTCCTCCACTTGGGGCAGGACCTCCTCCCCAACCCGGAGAGGGCACTCAACCCTTTTCCGGCTCAAGACCATGGCCTCGGATTTGGAGGAACTGATCCTCATCCCGGCCGCGTCACACTTGGCTGCGAACTGCTCCAGCGAAAGCTGTAGATCACGACTGATGAAGCCAATAGGACCAAATCATCTGCAAAAAACAGAGAAGCAATCCTAAGGCCACCAAAACAGATCCCCTCAACGCCTTGGCTGCACCTAGAAAAATTTTGTCCATAAAAGTTATGAACAGAATCGGTGACAAAGGGCAATCTTGGTAGAGTGCAACTCTCACCGAGTACAAGTCCAGCTTACTGCCGGCAATGCGGACCAAGCTCTGACATGGTCATAGAGAGACCTAACAGCCCATATCAAAGGGCCTGGTAAGCCATACCCCCGGAGTACCCCCCACAGGGTTCTCCAAGGGACATGGTTGAAGGCCTTCTTCAAGTCCACAAAGCACATGTAGACTGGTTTGGCAAACTCCCACGCACCCTCCAGGACCCTGCTGAGGGTGTAGAGCTGGTCCAGTGTTCCACGACCAGGATGAAAATCACACTGCCCCTCCTGAATCTGAGGTTCGACTGTCGGACCGACTCTTCTCTCCAGAACCCATGAATAGATCTTACCGGGGAGGCTAAAATGCGTGATCCCGTTTGTAAACTCTATCATCATAAATCGCAAAAAGGTTAAATCATGTCATCTGGACTGATTCTTTTTGGAATAAACGTTTTGTCTTCCATCTGAAAGACTTCATCAGTCTGAGGCCTGCCATCAAGGTCTGTAATATAAATAGCACCTTAATGATGTGTTTCAAGACAACCTGCTGTGGAATTCCCAGAAAATGGCTTTACACATGCAATAAGGGGACCATCCATCCAAAACAATCAATCACCAGAATCTGTCCAGATGACATGATCAAACTTTTTGTGATTTATGTACCTGGATGATTGAGCTGTTAAACCTTTTTCTGAACCCTTTTGGCCAGGTGTCCTCAGGCTGTTCCTGTGAGCAGCAAATTGGCCATCAGGCCTAAAACATTTAATTGTTATGCACTGATAATTGATCGTTTTGGATTGATGGTCCCCTTTTTGCATGTTTAAAGCCAGTTTATAGGAATTCCACAGCAGGCTGGCTTGAAACATGTCAGTAAGGTGCTATTTATATTACAGATGTTGGTGGCCGATCTCAGACTGATGAAGTCTTTCGGATGTAAGATGAAACGTTTCTTCCAAAATAATCTGGCCAGATGACATGATTTATTTTTTTTGCGATATTGACAATAACATTGCACTAAGTCACATCTGTGACACCTAATATGTTTATTGCTGCTGCTCTATGTGGTTGTTTCATGTATGTCACTACCTTACCTTATAATTCAATTAATCTCAATGGTACTCACTACCTGTGCATTAACCTGTCACACAACCTGTGTAGTATGTTATGTGCAATATATACCATGTGCATTTAAGCTAATATTACTACCTGTGAATATTTATACTAATTCATCCTACTTGCACTGTTACATTCTACCACATGTGTTTTACTATATTTCTTTTGGATCTTGCTTTCATACATAGATGGTTTCAAGGTTCCCAAAGGTGCAAATGCGATCATAATCACCTACGCTCTTCACCGTGACCCTCGATACTTCCCGGAGCCAGAGGAGTTCAGACCGGAGCGGTTTTTCCCAGAGAATTCAGTTGGAAGGCCTCCGTATGCATACGTTCCATTCTCAGCTGGACTCCGCAACTGTATAGGTACGATAAGGATGGTTTTACCTTAGTTAGATTAGTCTCAATAAATACACTTTGATTTCTGCAGCTATCAAGAGATGGTAACATCTCCTATGTCGATATCTTTACATTCAGGCCAGCGTTTTGCACAAATGGAGGAAAAGGTGGTTCTGGCGTCCATCCTGCGTAACTTCAGCGTTGAAGCTTGTCAGAAACGTGAAGAGCTGTGTCCAGTCGGAGAGCTCATCCTACGACCGGAGCAGGGCATTCGGATCAAACTGGAAAAGAGGATGTCTTCATAAAAGTCACCACTTGCGCACTTAAAAAAAGGCTTTTAGGGAGTCAGGAGTCCAAACCATATAAACCACAATATTTTTAGTTTAAAAAAGTAGTAATGCTGTACTAGTGTTTGGTAAATGCTGTTTATGTTTGAGATTCTTTTAGAAATGAAATAACTACAGTTTTTTGTATTATAGAGTTGTATTTTAATGGAGAAATGACTGAAAAGATTGTTTTAAACATGAGATTTGAGTTCTGTTGTGACACATAATCTTTAACTTGATTCAATTTTTATTTAAACAGATAAATCACATTGAGCCTCAAAGACTCATTTACAAGTGAGACCTGTTTGGACAGACAAAAACAGTGGTAAACTGGACACATGTAGGAGTTGGAGGCGAAAAAAAATTCCTATCAGACATTTTTTTTCCTGCCTGAGGAAAAAAACCTCTAATAATAAAAAAAAACACCTCGCACAGACAAGCACATATTTACGTAGACAATCTGCAGACGGAGGAGACGAGAGCGGTCTGCAATGTTCAATGATGCTCTCGAGGTCACTGTAAGAGTTCTGATAAGGATGGTATAATCAGTCAATGTCCTCCGGTGAGATCCATAAACATTCTTGGTCAAAATAACTAACATTTTGATTTACAAATTGCTAAAAACATCAAATGTTTTATGTTTTAGATCTTTTCTGCAGCTTTCTTTTACATTTTTTTTAATTGGAGGTAAATCTGGAGAAAGAATAGCACTGATTTTCAAATAAAGTGTGGAATGCTTCAAGGGGCGGCTGTGGCTGAGTGGTTAAAGCAGTCGTCCTACAATGGGTGAGTTGGGGGTTTGATTCCACCAGTAGTCACATGCTGAAGTGTCCCTTGGCAAGACAATGAACCCCTCATTGCCTCTGATGTGTGTCCCATCGGTGTATGAATGTGATCGAAAGCACTGATTAGTCTCTTTAGAATGATTTGTTCAATTAGCTTTGTAGAGATCTAATAGAGTGCTGTATGAATGGGTAAATGAGGCACAGATTGTAAAGTGCATTGAGTATCTTGATAAGATAGAAAAGCACTATACAGTATAAGTACAGCCCATTTACCTTCTCATTTTATGCAACATTTTTTTATTAGTCTTTAGTGTAATCTGAAGTCATCTCAGTTAGAGGTGTGGAACTATGGAGAGCCATTTCATTCACAATTAAATAAACAAGTAGTGCTATTTAAAAAAGATTAATAAATATTCTATTAAATTAATAAGTAAATCTTAAAATAAATAAAAATAAATCTTTAAATAAAAAATAATAATTTTGAAATAAATAATAAATTTTGGAGGAAAAAATATTCAATTTCAATGTTTTATTTCATGGACATTTTTATTTCTTTAATGGAATATTTATTTGTAATTTTTAAATAACACTATTTATTTATTTATTTAATTTTGAATTTTTGTTTTAAATATTTTTTTATTTAACCTTTATTTTACCAAGATAAAAAAAAAAAATTGAGATTAAAAACCTCTTTTTCAAAGTCGACCTGGCCAAGAGGCAGCAACAAATACAACACAAAAAAGTAAACAGTTAAAAAAAAATGTCAAGCTATAAAAAAACAGGTACTATAAAACAAGCTATTAAAACGGGTACATTTCATTGAATTGGCCTCAACAACTTTTAATTTGGATGTAAAAGCGCTGAATGAGATGAATTCAGTCATGAAATGGCTCTCCATATGGAACAGACCTCACAGTGAAAACATTCAGACCATTCCATGAAGAAATGATTCAACAGAGATGAGGCTTTCACTGATTACTATTAGTTGTGGTTGTTGCTGTGTTTTTTTTAGTTTTTTAATCTTGAAAGCTGTAGAAATATTTTCACTAATGATAATTTGAACTGATGCTGGTGGTATCACTTAAAAAACTGATTAGTTCATTTTAACAATGTGTAAAACGAAATAAATCTGAAATTTAAAAACTGAATTTAGAAGAGTCAATGTGATTTATTCCCGAGACAAATAAAGCAAAAACCTGGATTGAAATAAAAGTATTGAATTCCTTCAAGGAATCCAAGTCTGTTAGCACTTGGTTCATGTTTCAGATGACTTTCAACTACTATTAGGCACAGTCTTTGTTTACTATCTGTAAAACTTACCGAGTTATAGCAATCTGTGCGTTTCCTGAGGCCAAGTATCTGTGGTGACCATCTTGAATCAGGTTGAGTCTAAAAAGAAAACCAGGAACAGATTTATTAATTGACTATTTTCAGTCTGTTTCATTCAAATCCATTCAGTTGTTCATGAGGTATTTTGCTAACGAACATACAGACGTGCATTTATTCCAGCTCCATTTGAAATTGAACATCATGTTTCAACTTGAAAGTATGTTTTTTTGCAAATCAACCTGCTGCTCTAAATCAAACATTGTAACTCCATCCATCCATTCATCCATCCATTCGTCCATCCATCCATTCATCCATTATCTTTACCCGCTGTTTTCTTTTAGGGTCGCGGGGGTCATTGGTGTCCATATCCAACAGTCGCTGTGTGAGAGACGGGGACACCCTGGACAGGTCTCCAGTCCATCACAGGGACACATAGAGACAAACAACCATTAACTCTCTCACTCACACTTAGAGACAATTTAGAGTTACCAATCAGACTAACATGCATATTTTTGGTCTGTGGGAGGAAACTGAAGTACATGGAGAAAACCCACGCATGCACAGAGATAACATGCAAACTCCACCTAGAAAGGCTCCGGCTGAGATTTGGACTGGCGACCTGCTTGCTGAAAGGTGGCAGCTGTACCAACTGCACCACCGTGCTGTTCACATTGTAACTCAATAAAAAAAAATCCAAAGAATTCAAAATATAGTTATAATTTTTTACATAATAAAGAGCAGTGGCAGTGTGCTAACTTGGTGTAGCTCAGGTTTGTTTCGTGCTCAGCTTTATCCCACTATTTAAAAAAAGAAACAGAAATAAGCCTCTGTTCAATAAGCATAAACAAGTGGAGAAGTGATAATTCAGCTATTTGCAACAGCTGTCTATATGTTTCACAGCTGCTTGCCTTCAATAATAAAAACTGTCCTAATATGTGTTGAGAAATGTCAACTTGTTGTTGACTTCATGCTTTTTGGCTAGCTTAGCTTGTTCCAAACAAAAACACATTTGCGTTGACTGTGGCTCTTTCTGTCACATTCACAGGTGTGTTTGAAAAGAGCATTAAAGAAACTTTCACAGGTAAAGGGAGAAATGTGTTCTGGCATGCTGGCACTTAGTCTGAAGAAGCCATCATCGTCTTGTGAGTGATGTCACACTGCCATGACAGTGAGCTAAACTGAGTTAACAGAGACCACTTTTTAACGTTATCTGCTCTTTTTATGCAACAAGTCAGTATGTGTTTTTCAAGCTCCATTGGTTTAGACATTCCTAAAAGTGCCCATTCACTGCTTGTCACATTCCTTTCTTATCCTGCTTTTCTGTTTCTCTGATGTCCAGTAAAGGTTACAGTACACCTCACAGAAGGTAAAAATAAATAAAAAATCATATTTTAAGTGGAGGCAGCACGGTGGCGCAACTGGTAGAGCTGCTGCCTCTCAGCGAGCAGGTCCTTGGTTCAAACCCCGGTTCAGGGGCCTTCTGGGTGGAGTTTGCATGTTCTCTCCGTGCATGCGTGGGTTTTCTCCGGGTACTCCGGTTTCCTCCCACAGACCAGAAACATGCATGTTAGGCTGATTGGTAACTCTAAATTGTCCCTAGGTGTGAGTGAGAGAGTGAATGGTTGTTTGTCTCGTTTGTCTCTATGTGGCCTTGTGATGGACTTGCGACCCGTCCAGGGTGTACCCCGCCCCTCGCACAGTGATTGCTGGACATGGGCACCAGCGACCCCCGTGACCCAAAATGGAATAAGCGGTTAAAGATAATGGATGGATGGATTTTAAGTGGAATTTTTTTTTCAATAATCCAGGGTGTAGCTTTCTTTGGTTATTGTCATGATCTGTGTATTTTACCATACCATACCATTTTATTTAAAAAGCACTTTAAACAGCGACAGGGCCAACCAAAGCGCTGTACAAACAGAAACAAACAGGCAAAGCACACAGCAACACATAACATAACGTAAAATCAAAATATAGGAACAAAATAATAACTGATAGTAACACAATGACTATTATCTCCTGATGCATGCTCAATAATCCAGGTAGAAAAATCCAAAAAAGTTCAATCTGGTCCTCTGGACATTCAAAAAAAATAAAAAATAAAAAAAATATAGAAACGTTTCGTCTCTCATCCAAAAGACTTCCTCAGTCTGAGGTGCTGTATTCAGCTCAGTCTCTTAAATAGCACCTTCTCAGAGTGGATCAACCAGTTTGCTGCTGACAACCAAAACCAGCTGATCACATGCTCAAGAAGGACCATCAGCCTAACAATGGATCATTAGCACACTGATGGCTGTTTACTATTCACAGAGGGCTGAGTGATACTAGCAATCACAGCATTGTAAGAGGGGGACAGTTGAACAGTTGATAGTTGGTTTGAGAGAGGAGTAAAGGAGGCCATCTTTGTGAAAAGAAATCGTCCATCATTAAACAGGGGTGGAGGCCTCCGGGTTCAACTGTCCCCCTCTTACAATGCTGTGATTGCTAGTATCACTCAGCCCTCTGTGAATAGTAAACAGCCATCAGTGTGCTAATGATCCATTGTTAGGCTGATGGTCCTTCTTGAGCATGTGATCAGCTGGTTTTGGTTGTCAGCAGCAAACTGGTTGATCCACTCTGAGAAGGTGCTATTTAAGAGACTGAGCTAAAAACAGCGCCTCAGACTGAGGAAGTCTCTTGGATGAGAGACGAAACGTTTCTATATTTTTTTGCTTTGCTTTTTTTTTTTTTTTTGAATGTCCAGAGGACCAGATTGAACTTTTTTGGAATGACTATTATCAGTTATTATTTGGTGGCCGGGCTTTTACCCATGGAGCTCGGCCGGGCACAGCCCAAAGAGGAGACATGGGTCCCCTTCCCATGGGCTCACTACCTGTGGGAGGGGCCAAAGGGGTCGGGTGCAATGTGGGATGGGTGGTGGCCGAGGGCAGGGATCCTGGCGGTCTGATCCTCGGCTACAGAAGCTGGCTATTGGGACGCGGAATGTCACCTCACTGGTGGGGAAGGAGACTAAGCTGGTGTGTGAGGTTGAGAGGTTCCGGCTAGAAATAGTCAGACTCACCTCTACGCATGGCTCTGGCTCTGGAACCAGTTTCCTTGAGAGGGGTTGGACACTCTTCCACTCTGGAGTTGCCTCTGGTGAGAGGCGCTGAGCAGGAGTGGGCATACTTGTTGCCCCCCATCTTGGTGCC